CCCCAAAACCCCAAAACCCCAAAACCCCAAGAGCTTATTTAAAAGTTGAAGAAATTAATCATTTATTCTTAATAATATTTTATTGATAAATGCTAGGTAAATATGAAAGCAATAATGGAACTAAAAATGATGAAGAGGAAAAGCATCAACAACAAGCTGATGGAGTTAAGGTAAACTATAATGTCCATCAGAAGCCTTTGAACTTGATGCTAAACTCTCTTAGTATGGAGATGATGACAGCATCGACTCCTTCTCCTTTTTCTGCACAATACAGGAAAATGGAGAATACGAAACATGGGTGAGAAATTCCAGAGAACTTTCAAAGACTGGGGATAAACTCTTCCTCTTATCCTCTCTCTATGCATAATCCTTCAATAAGTACTGAAAATGCCTATCGGCCATTAGCATCTTTATCTCTTCCCAATTATTCACCTTATTTGACTACACCAGTCGGCCAAACGACTCAAATGTTCTTTCCTACTACCTCAAAATTTCACCCTAATGCAGTAAAAACTAAACTGCAAAGTGAGAAATCCAAAAACCTGCCTTCCAAAAAGAAGAGGACCAAAAGGAAGAAATGCAGTGGAGTCTACTGTACTTGTGGTCTCTCCGAAGAAGATGCTTACTTGGCCAATTACATGTTCAAGAAGAACAACGTTAAGTTTATGGAAGAACTTCAGCATTTTCATTATGAAATTTGCGAGAAGAGCACAGAAGTTACTAAAAAGAAAGTCTTCGAATTTAAATGCAAGTTTAATGGCAACTGCAATATGAGATTCGAACGCGCTTGGAACCTCCTAGACCACTGTAGGATGCACTATGGTATCAAGCCCTTCCAGTGTGAAGAGTGTGGGAGAAGCTTCACTCAGAGAGGAAATCTGGGGAAGCATAAACTCACTCATAATAAAGAAAAATAAATTGTTCCTTAAGAAAAATTCTGAATTTAAATTCTTTTCAAAATAAACCTTTTTAAATTACCGAAACTCGACTTTTTGAATTCTTCGGTGGTAGAGTCTCTAACTTTGGTAAAGTTTAAGCCGAAAATACTAAAAGTGGTGAAAATTAAATCATATTTGGAAATCATTAATAATAAAAAATACCAATCATGGTGAAGTGCCACAAAAACGTTAAACCAAGATGCTCTAAGTATTATTGAGCGTACGGAATCGGAATTCGTGCTAGGATTTGAGTAAAAATTATGCAAACTGAGGTAATAGTACAACACTTATATTTTAGAAATAATTCATTTTTCTACCTCGCCGTTTGAATCTGAGCTTCTTTTTAAAGGTGAAATATTCATAGTTTATAAAAATTTCAATGTACAATTTAAGCTAATGGATTTCTAAGAAATTATTATAGATACTCTTATTTGAATATTTCAGAACAAATTAAAGCAATGGGTGCTCTCTCCGGTCACCAATCTCCCATTGATATATCCACCGAAAATAAAATATTTGAAAAATGAATAAAATTTCTATACCAATTTCTGCCACTTAAATGTAAGTGCTAAAAGGAGAATAAACTGTCCAAATTATTCTTATTCTTATTAATCATCGACTCGAAAGTTCACAGATCCTTTAATTATAAAAATATCCTGGAGTGCAAAGATTGAGGAAGCTAAAATTACTTACTCAGATTTCCACTAAATTTATGAGCTTAAAATTTCAGAGAAAAATTATGCCCAGAACTTTATTTAAAGACATAAGAAAGTACCAGTTAAAATGCCAAATTTGAACACGGATTATAGAAAATTTAAGAAGAATTTCGTTAAAATATTCATACTGTCTGTTTTAAGCCTAAATCACCGTACTATCAAATTACAACAGAGAGGGTTTTAATAAGCACCCAGAGTCCCAAATATTCCTTAAAAATAATTACTTATGAACACATTTTTGAATCCGAATAATATGAATAGAAAATTCATAAGCCAGCAGAATGAATTATTAACCAACCAAGACTTAATTTCCAAAAATTTGCTAAAAATTGTTCCTAAACCCAATACTCTCTCCCATTTCTCACCAATAATTTCCCAAAATCCTCAACGCCCAACCCCCACCACTCAAGCACCCAAAATTCTAACCCATCAAACCCATTCCAAACCCATCCCAAAATCTCCAAAATTTCTTCTTCTACTACTCTTCCATTCCTTAAATTTCCAATTTCAACTTCTGGGTTAGGTCTTGGGGTTTTGGGGTTTTGGGGTTTTGGGG